GGGGTACCTCTGTGTGATTTTGGGGTGCCGGGTGTTTTTGGGATGTTACCTCTGTGTGATTTTGGGGTGCCTGTGTGTGATTTTGGGGTCCCTGGGTCAGTTTTGGGGTACCTCTGTGTGATTTTGGGGTACCTTTGTGTGATTTTGGGGTCCCTGTGTCAGTTTTGGGGTACCTCTGTGTGATTTTGGGGTGCCTGTGTGTGTTTTTGGGGTCCCTGGGTCAGTTTTGGGGTGCCTGTGTGTGATTTTGGGAGGACACGGCCCGCGGGGTGGCGCTGCTCTCCGGTGAGGGGCGGGGCTAACCGAGGGGGCGGGGCCTGGTGCGGAGCCGGTACCGGGAGGACACGGCCCGCGGGGTGGCGCTGCTCTCCGGTGAGGGGCGGGGCTAACCGAGGGGGCGGGGCCTGGTGCGGAGCCGGTACCGGGAGGACACGGCCCGCGGGGTGGCGCTGCTCTCCGGTGAGGGGCGGGGCTAACCGAGGGGGCGGGGCCTGGTGCGGAGCCGGTACCGGGAGGACACGGCCCGCGGGGTGGCGCTGCTCTCCGGTGAGGGGCGGGGCTAACCGAGGGGGCGGGGCCTGGTGCGGAGCCGGTACCGGGAGGACACGGCCCGCGGGGTGGCGCTGCTCTCCGGTGAGGGGCGGGGCTAACCGAGGGGGCGGGGCCTGGTGCGGAGCCGGTACCGGGAGGACACGGCCCGCGGGGTGGCGCTGCTCTCCGGTGAGGGGCGGGGCTAACCGAGGGGGCGGGGCCTGGTGCGGAGCCGGTACCGGGAGGACACGGCCCGCGGGGTGGCGCTGCTCTCCGGTGAGGGGCGGGGCTAACCGAGGGGGCGGGGCCTGGTGCGGAGCCGGTACCGGGAGGACACGGCCCGCGGGGTGGCGCTGCTCTCCGGTGAGGGGCGGGGCTAACCGAGGGGGCGGGGCCTGGTGCGGAGCCGGTACCGGGAGGACACGGCCCGCGGGGTGGCGCTGCTCTCCGGTGAGGGGCGGGGCTAACCGAGGGGGCGGGGCCTGGTGCGGAGCCGGTACCGGGAGGACACGGCCCGCGGGGTGGCGCTGCTCTCCGGTGAGGGGCGGGGCTAACCGAGGGGGCGGGGCCTGGTGCGGAGCCGGTACCGGGAGGACACGGCCCGCGGGGTGGCGCTGCTCTCCGGTGAGGGGCGGGGCTAACCGAGGGGGCGGGGCCTGGTGCGGAGCCGGTACCGGGAGGACACGGCCCGCGGGGTGGCGCTGCTCTCCGGTGAGGGGCGGGGCTAACCGAGGGGGCGGGGCCTGGTGCGGAGCCGGTACCGGGAGGACACGGCCCGCGGGGTGGCGCTGCTCTCCGGTGAGGGGCGGGGCTAACCGAGGGGGCGGGGCCTGGTGCGGAGCCGGTACCGGGAGGACACGGCCCGCGGGGTGGCGCTGCTCTCCGGTGAGGGGCGGGGCTAACCGAGGGGGCGGGGCCTGGTGCGGAGCCGGTACCGGGAGGACACGGCCCGCGGGGTGGCGCTGCTCTCCGGTGAGGGGCGGGGCTAACCGAGGGGGCGGGGCCTGGTGCGGAGCCGGTACCGGGAGGACACGGCCCGCGGGGTGGCGCTGCTCTCCGGTGAGGGGCGGGGCTAACCGAGGGGGCGGGGCCTGGTGCGGAGCCGGTACCGGGAGGACACGGCCCGCGGGGTGGCGCTGCTCTCCGGTGAGGGGCGGGGCTAACCGAGGGGGCGGGGCCTGGTGCGGAGCCGGTACCGGGAGGACACGGCCCGCGGGGTGGCGCTGCTCTCCGGTGAGGGGCGGGGCTAACCGAGGGGGCGGGGCCTGGTGCGGAGCCGGTACCGGGAGGACACGGCCCGCGGGGTGGCGCTGCTCTCCGGTGAGGGGCGGGGCTAACCGAGGGGGCGGGGCCTGGTGCGGAGCCGGTACCGGGAGGACACGGCCCGCGGGGTGGCGCTGCTCTCCGGTGAGGGGCGGGGCTAACCGAGGGGGCGGGGCCTGGTGCGGAGCCGGTACCGGGAGGACACGGCCCGCGGGGTGGCGCTGCTCTCCGGTGAGGGGCGGGGCTAACCGAGGGGGCGGGGCCTGGTGCGGAGCCGGTACCGGGAGGACACGGCCCGCGGGGTGGCGCTGCTCTCCGGTGAGGGGCGGGGCTAACCGAGGGGGCGGGGCCTGGTGCGGAGCCGGTACCGGGAGGACACGGCCCGCGGGGTGGCGCTGCTCTCCGGTGAGGGGCGGGGCTAACCGAGGGGGCGGGGCCTGGTGCGGAGCCGGTACCGGGAGGACACGGCCCGCGGGGTGGCGCTGCTCTCCGGTGAGGGGCGGGGCTAACCGAGGGGGCGGGGCCTGGTGCGGAGCCGGTACCGGGAGGACACGGCCCGCGGGGTGGCGCTGCTCTCCGGTGAGGGGCGGGGCTAACCGAGGGGGCGGGGCCTGGTGCGGAGCCGGTACCGGGAGGACACGGCCCGCGGGGTGGCGCTGCTCTCCGGTGAGGGGCGGGGCTAACCGAGGGGGCGGGGCCTGGTGCGGAGCCGGTACCGGGAGGACACGGCCCGCGGGGTGGCGCTGCTCTCCGGTGAGGGGCGGGGCTAACCGAGGGGGCGGGGCCTGGTGCGGAGCCGGTACCGGGAGGACACGGCCCGCGGGGTGGCGCTGCTCTCCGGTGAGGGGCGGGGCTAACCGAGGGGGCGGGGCCTGGTGCGGAGCCGGTACCGGGAGGACACGGCCCGCGGGGTGGCGCTGCTCTCCGGTGAGGGGCGGGGCTAACCGAGGGGGCGGGGCCTGGTGCGGAGCCGGTACCGGGAGGACACGGCCCGCGGGGTGGCGCTGCTCTCCGGTGAGGGGCGGGGCTAACCGAGGGGGCGGGGCCTGGTGCGGAGCCGGTACCGGGAGGACACGGCCCGCGGGGTGGCGCTGCTCTCCGGTGAGGGGCGGGGCTAACCGAGGGGGCGGGGCCTGGTGCGGAGCCGGTACCGGGAGGACACGGCCCGCGGGGTGGCGCTGCTCTCCGGTGAGGGGCGGGGCTAACCGAGGGGGCGGGGCCTGGTGCGGAGCCGGTACCGGGAGGACACGGCCCGCGGGGTGGCGCTGCTCTCCGGTGAGGGGCGGGGCTAACCGAGGGGGCGGGGCCTGGTGCGGAGCCGGTACCGGGAGGACACGGCCCGCGGGGTGGCGCTGCTCTCCGGTGAGGGGCGGGGCTAACCGAGGGGGCGGGGCCTGGTGCGGAGCCGGTACCGGGAGGACACGGCCCGCGGGGTGGCGCTGCTCTCCGGTGAGGGGCGGGGCTAACCGAGGGGGCGGGGCCTGGTGCGGAGCCGGTACCGGGAGGACACGGCCCGCGGGGTGGCGCTGCTCTCCGGTGAGGGGCGGGGCTAACCGAGGGGGCGGGGCCTGGTGCGGAGCCGGTACCGGGAGGACACGGCCCGCGGGGTGGCGCTGCTCTCCGGTGAGGGGCGGGGCTAACCGAGGGGGCGGGGCCTGGTGCGGAGCCGGTACCGGGAGGACACGGCCCGCGGGGTGGCGCTGCTCTCCGGTGAGGGGCGGGGCTAACCGAGGGGGCGGGGCCTGGTGCGGAGCCGGTACCGGGAGGACACGGCCCGCGGGGTGGCGCTGCTCTCCGGTGAGGGGCGGGGCTAACCGAGGGGGCGGGGCCTGGTGCGGAGCCGGTACCGGGAGGACACGGCCCGCGGGGTGGCGCTGCTCTCCGGTGAGGGGCGGGGCTAACCGAGGGGGCGGGGCCTGGTGCGGAGCCGGTACCGGGAGGACACGGCCCGCGGGGTGGCGCTGCTCTCCGGTGAGGGGCGGGGCTAACCGAGGGGGCGGGGCCTGGTGCGGAGCCGGTACCGGGAGGACACGCCCCCTCAGGGTTGCCCTGCTCTCCGGTGAGGGGCGGGGCCTGCCAGGGGGCGGGGCCTGGTGCGGACACGCCCCCTCAGGGTTGCCCTGCTCTCCGGTGAGGGGCGGGGCCTGGTGCGGACACGCCCCCTCAGGGCTGCCCTGCTCTCCGGTGAGGGGCGGGGCCAGCACAGGGGGCGGGGCCTATTGCGGTCACGCCCCTCGAGGTATTGCTGCTCTCCGGTGAGGGGCGGGGCCAGCACAGGGGGCGGGGCCTGATGCGGTCACGCCCCCTCAGGGTTGCCCTGCTCACCGGTGAGGGGCGGGGCTAACGCTTTGTGGGCGGGGCCAGAGTAGGGGGCGTGGTCAAAGCTGCGGGGCTTTTCGGGGTCCCTGGGGGGTTTTTGGGGGGCATTTTTGCAGATTCTGGGGAGATTTTTGGGGGGTTTTGGGACTGTTTGGGTGGCTTGGGGGGGAAATCTTTGGGGCTTTGTGGTTTTGGGGTGACTCTGTGTGGTTTTAGGGTCCCTGGGGCAGTTTTGAGGTCCCAGGGGCGGTTTTGGGGTGACTGTTTGTGATTTTGGGGTCCCTGGGTCAGTTTTGGGGTGCCTGTGTGTGATTTTGGGGTCCCTGGGTCAGTTTTGGGGTGCCTGTGTGTGATTTTGGGGTCCCTGGGTCAGTTTTGGGGTCCCTGTGTCAGTTTTGGGGTGCCTGTGTGTGATTTTGGGGTACCTCTGTGTGTTTTTGGGGCCCCTGTGTCAGTTTTGGGGTGCCTGTGTGTGATTTTGGGGTACCTCTGTGTGATTTTGGGGTGCCGGGTGTTTTTGGGATGTCTGTGTGTGATTTTGGGGTCCCTGGGTCAGTTTTGGGGTGCCTGTGTGTGATTTTGGGGTGCCGGGGTCAGTTTTGGGGTCCCGGGGGTTTTTGGGGTCCCGGGGTCAGTTTTGGGGTGCCTGTGTGTGATTTTGGGGTCCCTGTGTGTGTTTTTGGGGTACCTGTGTGTGTTTTTGGGGTGCCGGGGTCTCACCGCCCGCTGTGCCCCCCCAGAGCTGCTGCCCGAGACCCCCCCGGAGGAGCAGAGGGACGTCCTGTTCTACCTGGGGCTGGGGTACTACCGACTGAAGGTGGGACACCGACAGCGGGACACCAGTGACAGCGGTGCCGGACACCAGTAAGAACCAGTTACCCCAGTGCCGGACACCAGTAAGAACCAGTAAAAACCAGTGCTGGACAGCAGGGGCACCAGTGCCGGACAGCGCTGACCAGCACCGGACACCAGTTAAACCAGTTGAACCAGTGACAGCGGTGACAGCAGCACCGGACACCAGTGACACCAGTTAAACCAGTGCCGGACAGCGGGGACAGCGGTGACAGCAGTGCCAGCAGTGACACCAGTGCCGGACACCAGTAAGAACCAGTTCAACCAGTGCTGGACAGCGGGGACAGCAGTGACAGCGGTGACAGCCTGACCAGTGCCGGACGATGGGGACACCAGTTAAACCAGTTCAACAGTGACACCAGTGACCAGTGACAGCAGTGACCAGTGCCCAGCGCTCCCAGTGCCTCCAGTGACCAGTGCCACCAGTGCCCAGTGCCCAGTGCTCCCAGTGCCTCCAGTGACCAGTGACCACCAGTGACCAGCGCTCCCAGCACCACCAGTGACCAGTGCCCAGCGCTCCCAGTGCCACCAGTGACCAGCACCACCAGTGACCAGTGACCACCAGTGACCAGTGCCCAGCGCTCCCAGTGACCACCAGTGACCAGTGACCACCAGTGCCCAGTGCCCCCAGTGCCCCCAGTGCCACCAGTGCCACCAGTGCCCGCAGTGCCCGCAGTGCCCCGCGGCGGCGCGGGCATGGCGGGCGGGTGGCCGTGGGCCGCGCTGGCCGCGCTGGCCGCGGTGGCCCTGGCGGTGACGGGCTGGGGGCTCCTGGTGGCCGCGGTGGCCGCGGGCGTGTGGGGGATGGGCGGGGGCCAGAGCAGCGCGGTCACCGCTGTCATTGTCACCCGCGGGCTCTGGGCCGACTGCGCCACCGACGCCAGCGGGGTCATGTCCTGCGTGCCACTGGTGTCACTGGTCACCCTGCCCGGTACGGGGGGACAGGGGGGATTGGGGACACTGGGGACATTGGGGACAGCGGGGTCATGTCCTGCGTGCCACTGGTGTCACTGGTCACCCTGCCCGGTACGGGGGGACAGGGGGGATTGGGGACACTGGGGACATTGGGGACAGCGGGGTCATGTCCTGCGTGCCACTGGTGTCACTGGTCACCCTGCCCGGTACGGGGGGACAGGGGGGATTGGGGACACTGGGGACATTGGGGACAGCGGGGTCATGTCCTGCGTGCCACTGGTGTCACTGGTCACCCTGCCCGGTACGGGGGGACAGGGGGGATTGGGGACACTGGGGACATTGGGGACAGCGGGGTCATGTCCTGCGTGCCACTGGTGTCACTGGTCACCCTGCCCGGTACGGGGGGACAGGGGGGATTGGGGACACTGGGGACATTGGGGACAGCGGGGTCATGTCCTGCGTGCCACTGGTGTCACTGGTCACCCTGCCCGGTACGGGGGGACAGGGGGGATTGGGGACACTGGGGACATTGGGGACAGCGGGGTCATGTCCTGCGTGCCACTGGTGTCACTGGTCACCCTGCCCGGTACGGGGGGACAGGGGGGATTGGGGACACTGGGGACATTGGGGACAGCGGGGTCATGTCCTGCGTGCCACTGGTGTCACTGGTCACCCTGCCCGGTACGGGGGGACAGGGGGGATTGGGGACACTGGGGACATTGGGGACAGCGGGGTCATGTCCTGCGTGCCACTGGTGTCACTGGTCACCCTGCCCGGTACGGGGGGACAGGGGGGATTGGGGACACTGGGGACATTGGGGACAGCGGGGTCATGTCCTGCGTGCCACTGGTGTCACTGGTCACCCTGCCCGGTACGGGGGGACAGGGGGGATTGGGGACACTGGGGACATTGGGGACAGCGGGGTCATGTCCTGCGTGCCACTGGTGTCACTGGTCACCCTGCCCGGTACGGGGGGACAGGGGGGATTGGGGACACTGGGGACATTGGGGACAGCGGGGTCATGTCCTGCGTGCCACTGGTGTCACTGGTCACCCTGCCCGGTACGGGGGGACAGGGGGGATTGGGGACACTGGGGACATTGGGGACAGCGGGGTCATGTCCTGCGTGCCACTGGTGTCACTGGTCACCCTGCCCGGTACGGGGGGACAGGGGGGATTGGGGACACTGGGGACATTGGGGACAGCGGGGTCATGTCCTGCGTGCCACTGGTGTCACTGGTCACCCTGCCCGGTACGGGGGGACAGGGGGGATTGGGGACACTGGGGACATTGGGGACAGCGGGGTCATGTCCTGCGTGCCACTGGTGTCACTGGTCACCCTGCCCGGTACGGGGGGACAGGGGGGATTGGGGACACTGGGGACATTGGGGACAGCGGGGTCATGTCCTGCGTGCCACTGGTGTCACTGGTCACCCTGCCCGGTACGGGGGGACAGGGGGGATTGGGGACACTGGGGACATTGGGGACAGCGGGGTCATGTCCTGCGTGCCACTGGTGTCACTGGTCACCCTGCCCGGTACGGGGGGACAGGGGGGATTGGGGACACTGGGGACATTGGGGACAGCGGGGTCATGTCCTGCGTGCCACTGGTGTCACTGGTCACCCTGCCCGGTACGGGGGGACAGGGGGGATTGGGGACACTGGGGACATTGGGGACAGCGGGGTCATGTCCTGCGTGCCACTGGTGTCACTGGTCACCCTGCCCGGTACGGGGGGACAGGGGGGATTGGGGACACTGGGGACATTGGGGACAGCGGGGTCATGTCCTGCGTGCCACTGGTGTCACTGGTCACCCTGCCCGGTACGGGGGGACAGGGGGGATTGGGGACACTGGGGACATTGGGGACAGCGGGGTCATGTCCTGCGTGCCACTGGTGTCACTGGTCACCCTGCCCGGTACGGGGGGACAGGGGGGATTGGGGACACTGGGGACATTGGGGACAGCGGGGTCATGTCCTGCGTGCCACTGGTGTCACTGGTCACCCTGCCCGGTACGGGGGGACAGGGGGGATTGGGGACACTGGGGACATTGGGGACAGCGGGGTCATGTCCTGCGTGCCACTGGTGTCACTGGTCACCCTGCCCGGTACGGGGGGACAGGGGGGATTGGGGACACTGGGGACATTGGGGACAGCGGGGTCATGTCCTGCGTGCCACTGGTGTCACTGGTCACCCTGCCCGGTACGGGGGGACAGGGGGGATTGGGGACACTGGGGACATTGGGGACAGCGGGGTCATGTCCTGCGTGCCACTGGTGTCACTGGTCACCCTGCCCGGTACGGGGGGACAGGGGGGATTGGGGACACTGGGGACATTGGGGACAGCGGGGTCATGTCCTGCGTGCCACTGGTGTCACTGGTCACCCTGCCCGGTACGGGGGGACAGGGGGGATTGGGGACACTGGGGACATTGGGGACAGCGGGGTCATGTCCTGCGTGCCACTGGTGTCACTGGTCACCCTGCCCGGTACGGGGGGACAGGGGGGATTGGGGACACTGGGGACATTGGGGACAGCGGGGTCATGTCCTGCGTGCCACTGGTGTCACTGGTCACCCTGCCCGGTACGGGGGGACAGGGGGGATTGGGGACACTGGGGACATTGGGGACAGCGGGGTCATGTCCTGCGTGCCACTGGTGTCACTGGTCACCCTGCCCGGTACGGGGGGACAGGGGGGATTGGGGACACTGGGGACATTGGGGACAGCGGGGTCATGTCCTGCGTGCCACTGGTGTCACTGGTCACCCTGCCCGGTACGGGGGGACAGGGGGGATTGGGGACACTGGGGACATTGGGGACAGCGGGGTCATGTCCTGCGTGCCACTGGTGTCACTGGTCACCCTGCCCGGTACGGGGGGACAGGGGGGATTGGGGACACTGGGGACATTGGGGACAGCGGGGTCATGTCCTGCGTGCCACTGGTGTCACTGGTCACCCTGCCCGGTACGGGGGGACAGGGGGGATTGGGGACACTGGGGACATTGGGGACAGCGGGGTCATGTCCTGCGTGCCACTGGTGTCACTGGTCACCCTGCCCGGTACGGGGGGACAGGGGGGATTGGGGACACTGGGGACATTGGGGACAGCGGGGTCATGTCCTGCGTGCCACTGGTGTCACTGGTCACCCTGCCCGGTACGGGGGGACAGGGGGGATTGGGGACACTGGGGACATTGGGGACAGCGGGGTCATGTCCTGCGTGCCACTGGTGTCACTGGTCACCCTGCCCGGTACGGGGGGACAGGGGGGATTGGGGACACTGGGGACATTGGGGACAGCGGGGTCATGTCCTGCGTGCCACTGGTGTCACTGGTCACCCTGCCCG